CCGCTGTGATGTCGACTTCCTGTGTCACTGACGCTCCTGTTGGGCGCCTGAAGATACAGGTGCGTTGGGTAATTTGCGTCTGAGCGGAGAGTGGTATTGGTAGTGGCGCGGACGCGCCGATGGTTTGGGGCACATGGGGGAGGCATGACGGAAGAAACGGGGCGTGAGATGGAGGGAGAGGGGTGGGAGGGGAGGGGCGGTGTGTGAAATGAGAAGCAGGAGCGCAAGAGCATTCGGAGGAGGCGGAGGGAGAGGACGATGAATGTCGGAAGAGAGTGTTGATTGCTGAGGCCCGCGGCATTGCAGTGAGTTTTTGTCGTCCTTCGCCCGCATCGCCACCGCACCAGCTAGAACCCATGGCACTTGCGTTGTCATCGTGCCAGTGGGGTATCACCGGTGGTTTGCGAGACGAGCGCTCTCCCGATTTATCCCCTCGGGCCATCGGCGTCGTGTGGCCTCACAGGATGCCCATTCGCGAGAACATGTAGGTCCACCCTGTCTCTGTGTGTTGTTTTGTCAGTGTCGTGGGACGACGGGGCAGGCGCAATCTGACTTCGATGATGCGTGCACTTATTTTGCCGAACTGACGTGACAAGGATGCAGACACTGTGTCCCTTTTGTGAGTCTGAGAGGCCATTGCCAGGTTTGCCTTCCGATTGCGCAGCTGCGCGTCGCTGCCCTGCGCAGGACGGCCATCGTGGCCATTTTTCCCCCACCGCTCTGATGTCGACTTCCTGTGTCACTGACGCTCCTCTGGGGTGCCTGAAGATACAGGTGCGTTGGGTAATTTGCGTCTGAGCGGAGAGTATTCGTGGTGTCACGGACGCGCCAGTTTTTGGAGGAGGACGGGGGAGGGATGACGGAAGGAACGTGGCGTGGGATGGAGGAAGAGGGAGGGAAGGGGTGGGGCGAGTTGTGGGAGGAGAAGCAGGAGCAAGAGCATTCGGAGGAGGCGGAGGGAGAGGACGATGAATGTCGGAAGAGAGTGTTGATTGCTGAGGCCCGCGGCATTGCAGTGAGTTTTTGTCGTCCTTCGCCCGCATCGCCACCGCACCAGCTAGAACCCATGGCGCTTGCGTTGTCATCGTGCCAGTGGGGTATCGCCGGTGGTTTGCGAGACGAGCGCTCTCCCGATTTATCCCCTCGGGCCATCGGCGTCGTGTGGCCTCACAGGATGCCCATTCGCGAAAACATGTAGGTCCCCCCTGTCTCTGTGTGGTGTTTTGTCAGTGTCGTGGGACGACTGGGCAGGCATAGTCTGACTTCGATGATGCGTGCACTTATTTTGCCGAACTGACGTGACAAGGATGCAGACACTGTGTCCCTTTTTGTGAGTCTGCGGGGCCATTGCCAGGTTTGCCTTCCGATTGTGCAGCTGCGCGTCGCTGCCCTGCGCAGGACGGCCACCGTGGCCATTGTTCCCCCACCGCTGTGATGTCGACTTCCTGTGTCACTGACGCTCCTCTGGGGCGTCTGAAGATACAGGTGCGTTGGGTAATTTGCGTCTGAGCGGAGAGTATTCGTGGTGTCACGGACGCGCCTGTTTTTGGAGGAGGACGGGGGAGGGATGACGGAAGGAACGGGGCGTGGGATGGAGTAAAAGGGAGGGAAGTCGTGGGGCGAGTTGTGGGAGGAGAAGCAGGAGCAGGAGCATTCGGAG